AATTATTTTGTAAGAGGTGGATAAAGAATTGTTCATTTTTATTAAGTGACAGGGAAATAAAGAATTCTTTCTTTTTAATAGATACAAAGGTTATTAAAACAAAAGTACAAGAATGCAGACAAAGAAGCTTATGTAGTTGAAATTATTATAAATAAGACATGAATCAAGAATCTTATTTAATAACTAAACTCTTGTAACCAACTTTAAAAATAAAACTTCTATTTATAAATTAACCTTATCATTAATAAATTAAAAATAATATATGCTCTTACATACCCAACCATCTAATTTTTGCACTCACACTCATCTCATTAAATATTTTATTCTTTTATTGCTTCTAAATAAAATGTCTCCAAAAAGAATAACTTTATCTAATTCTCAAAGATATGAATTTTGTTTATTCTAGTCAACAAATAAAACTGGTTAATTCTCTTGATAGATATATTGGTTTGAAAAGAATAAATACAATGAGGCAAACTACAATAGAGTCTTATCTTAATCAATAATTATATAAAATTTTAGTGATAATAATGTTATAATTAATTAATAAATTTTTATTCTTCATTGGAGTCACGTGCAACCAATGAAATGCTTTGTTTCTCTAAGTGCACACTATCTCTCATTCCCAATGGGGGTGCACTTAGAGGGGGTTTAATCTAATTAATATTTTTATCTTTACAAAAAGATCTCGCCTATAAACTGACATTTTATTTTTTAAGTATTGTACTAAAATTTGCATTTAAACATTTTGATTTATTATGTATCTCAAAAAGAAAAAAATACTTGATAATATCAAAATTCAAACTTAAACATTTTCATTATATAGTATCCTAGGAAAAAAAATGAGTGATTCAACTAATAATAATAAACAACAATTGATTGCAGACTGTGTTTTATTGGCACTCAGAGATGTGTTGTATTTAGCACAAAGCCAGGGTTATGATCCTGAAAGTAAATTTCTAAAAATATATGTTAAATATGTAAAAGAAATTAATTCTGCTTATAGTAAAAATGGAAAAGCTGGAGCCATTCCAAAATATTTCATCCCAAATGAGGATGAGTATAATAAAAAGATTACTAACTATCCTAATTACTATAAAGATGAACTTCTTGCTAGTCTTTTGAAACTTCTGGAACTTTTCCATGAAATAGCTTTAGTACCACCTCCAGCTCCAGTTAAAAAGGAAAAACGCATTCCAACTAAAGATGAATTAGATGATTACATAAATGGAATATTTGGAAAATAACACTTTGTTAGTACATTGCATTCAGATACAATGAATCTAGAAACAATGCATCCAGATATGTTGTAAATTTATTTTGAATTTTTTTTTTATATTATATACACAAAGTAAAGTAGAGGAATGGGAATACTATAAGGAACACAAACCATAATAATTACAAAATTCTATGGACAATCTTTGAATTAAATAATTAGTTTAGTTTATATTATATTAATAGAAAATCTACTACAAAATGTCAAATGATAAACAAACATGTGTTACCTGTGGGCATATAATTGCAAAACCTATAGGATATACTATGGTGCAAGTCACCTAGTCCCGCAACTTGCTGCGCTTCGTGGCCAATTTTGGGAAAAATATCAAAACTCAGAATTGTAAGTTATGCTCAAAAATGCAATAAATTTCCATATCACGTGACATTTAATGGTGATACAAATTAAAAAAAAAAGTTTCATTTAAATATTTATATATTAATATATATATATAATGTTATAACATTGCTAAAAAAAAATTTCCTTCTTCATGTGAAGAAGCCAATGCTCCTGCGGAGAGCATTCTTTGAGAGCTTTGCCCTCAAAGAATTTTTGGACACCATACATTTTTCATATTAAAAAGATTAATTGTCATCTCTCATCTTTCCTTTTTTCTGATATAACTAGTGTATTATTGTTACATGCTTATACTATCTATCTAATTATCTAATAAATCATATGTACATATCTTTATTTACATTGTAAAAATCAAATCACAGATACCATTTGGCACTACTTGCTCAACCATTGCAATTTTTTGGTCTATTTATATGTTTTTGTAATAATTTATTAGACTACTCAATCAATGCACTATTTGGCCACAATATAGTCTATTTTATGAAAAATTACATCATTGTGCAAAGATGTTTCGCATCCAACTATTCAAAAGAATAATTCATCTTTTGTGACTGCCAAATTTAGAAATGATCATCACATGCTAGTCTAAATTTAGTAACGATATTAGCGGGCATTTCATCATGAACATTGTAAACTTGTGAAACTTTGAGCCCTTCTAACTGCGCAGTGCTGTGATATATCAACAAAATGAAATTGTAACTTTGTAGAGAAAGGTCTTAGCTTCAAAATTACGGCTTATTTTTTTGGTGTTACATTTCCATTTTTGGAGTTAGAGAAGGATAAGGACAATAAAAAGTTGTGGGACTAGGTGTCTTGCACTATATGTAAATTCGAATTTTACTATGATGCAGATCACCCAAATTTTACTATATACAGTGAACCCTTGTTTCAATGAAGTATAATTAAATTTTTGGTACAACAAATTTTTAAAAATGTTATTACACATTATGAAAACATATAAAAATTTGTTGAAACGCGATTAGTAACCTTGTTTCAACAAATGTTGAACAAAATTTTCTTATATGTCCAACCACTTCGTTGAAACAAGGGCAGACTGTATATAGTTAAATTTGAAATAAAAATATTGATATTAAGTGATATAAACAAAGTGTATTCCCACAAAATATATTTTTGGTACTAAGTGGGGATAGTGGGTCTATTTATATGTTTTATATAGTGATAAATTAGACTACTTGTCCACAAAATAATTTATTATATTAATAATTACATCATTTGCGCATTTCTTGATCAATGCAAGACAGTTGATTATAGCTGTGTTGATTGATGGTACCATTTTTTATCTATATATATAGTTAAATTTAAAATGAAATTTTGACATTAGCAATAGAAATATATAAATATATAAATACATAATCGTTAGTTTAATTTAAATAAAAGAAAATGAATAATTGATGATAGTGGCAGTTGTGACAGTTATACAATTTAACAAGTAGAAAACATATAGCGAATGACCAATTATTTTGTTAAATCTCCTTGACCAGGAGAGGTTCCCATTGGATCTTTCGATATTAAAAACGTGCTGAAGAAGTGTTGTCCAGTATATATTGGCTAGTGTTGACTGGTTGTGTAGGTGTATAGGTTCTTGAGAAGGGTGGTAGGTAAAATGGAATGGGAAGTTGAGAGCAGTCTTGATGCACCAGCGATAGAAATGGCAGCTGCTGAATGAGAATCCCGAGGCTTTGTAGTGTAGCCACGCTTGAATGAAATACATGATGGGTTGATACACTCAACAGCACAATCGTGCAAGTCTGCTGGAAACACCACACACAAGCTTGTGAGATTCGGTACTCATTAATTATTTCAACAGAGCAGCATCTTCTATGCTGCTCTCTCATCTTACCACTACTTCTGCAAGCATGACCTTTTATACGAGGATTAACTTCTGTATCAGCTGTGCCAATTAACATAACTGGCAGGATAAATAGATGTGACATAAAAGATACTTTTGTAGGGATAAATCCAAGAATATCATGAATGTGAACAAAAAGGAACTTAATGTTGTCAATGGTTAACCTTTTACATGAGATATTTAACACTCTTCATGTACTTGCAAATTTTTCGATCGAAGAAAGAAATTTTTCTCTTTTTTTATTCCACTCTCACACTTCCCAAAATTCAACCATAGATACACCTATTTCTATTCTAATTTCTGTTGCAATTTCAATTGCAAGTTGCGAATTGGTAAAAATTTTTGTTTCTGAACTTTATTAAATGAAATCTTTTAAACAACATTAATTGCGTGATACCGTTTTCGTTTAAATTGTTAATCTATTAACTATATTAGGAATTACATTTGCCATTATGTAAAAAATTGGAAATTTGTACAAAACATTCTTCAAAATTACAATTATTTAAAGATTTTTAAAGATGAATCATAATAATCATTATTATGGTAACAAATCACAAAATAGTTCAAAATCAAGAAAATATAATAATGATAATAATAACGGTAACAATGATAACAATTTAGAATTACAAAATCATCATCAACCTTATCAACAACGTTTTCAACAACAGCAGTGTCGTCAACAAAATATTCAAAACAGACATCGACAGCAACACTATCGACAACAACCTTATCGACCACAACATTACAGATTTAAAGTAGATTCAAGAAATTTACGTCGTCATGATGTTCATGGTGATGACGATGGCGATGGTAGTGATGGTAAAAGAGAAGTTGAACAGCAGCAATTTGAACCTGATTCATATTATAATAACAATAAAACATATCCAAGAAATGGTGATAGAATGAGATATGATGAACACAACAGACATTATAATAATAGTAATAATAATGAAAAAGAACCTCACTTTGCTACAATTGATTATTACGAAAACAATGGTAATAATAATATGTATTATTATAATAATTATTATGAAGATTGTAATCCATATAATGAAAAATTATATTATAACAAGTATAAAAGGGACAGATATGAAATTAATAATAATACTCGTCATATTAGAAAACGTAACTTAAATTCATATTATGAAAAATCAAATTTAAAAAATGATTATCACTACTTTACTAATAATAATAGCAACAACAACAACAACAACAACAACAACAACAACAAATTTGATGATAATATCGCTTATGAATCTGATTATATCAGATCAAATGATATATGCAAAAATAAATTGCATGGTAATGATTATAGAAACATAAGAAGACATGACGATGGATTACAACAGAGTTACAAAAGACCGCCGTTACATTTAAGATTTAAAGATGATAACAAATATCCTACATATTATTATCCTAGATCAAGATCCCCCAGCTATCAAAGATCTATAGATTACATAAAAAGACAAAGTCTCCCCCCTTCATCTCCATCATCAATATTAAAACAACATGAATTTGACGACTACTTAAAAAATCGGGGATCGTTAACAACAACGCCATTAACTAAAACGTCAACTACACCGTTAAAAAAAAAAGATTTAGAATTTAATATTATAACAACAACAACAACAAAAAAAAAACTATCTGAAAGTTATAATCAAATCTCGTCGAAACCTTCCATTAGGATTGAGAAACCTCCACTAATGCTTATAGTATTAGATCTGAATGGTACATTGGTTTATCGTGATGGTGTGCACAGACTGATTCACCCACGTCCTTATATTTCTATTTTTAAAAATTATTTATTTCGAAACAAAAATTTTAATATTATGATTTGGTCATCAGCACAGAGAATTAATGTGAATAAAATGGTGAAAGAAATTTTTGGAAATGATGATAGTAACAAATTGCTTGAAATTTGGTCCAGAGATAAATTTCCCTTAACAAACAAAGAGTATCATTCCAAATGTTTAACAATAAAAGATTTAGAAATGGTTTGGGATGAGTTAAACAAATCTCTGAAAAATAAAAACATACAGCCATCATCTTCATCGCCGCCATCACAGTCATCAACAATATTATGGGATCAGACTAATACAATATTAATAGATGATTCACCACTTAAAGCTCAATTACAGCCTTACAATGCGATACATTTAAAAGAATTTAATCGAGAATTATTCCATAATGGAAATGATAGTGAATTATTAAATGTTATTGAATATTTAGAATTGTTAAAATGTCAAAGTAACATCAGCCATTTTATAAAAAATCGTCCTTACGACAGCAATCGAAATTATGCGAACCATCAGAACGAAATAAATATTGAATCAGTAAGTGATGATACAAGAGCTATGGCTGACAACTACGATGAAGAGGATAACGAAGAAATAATTGAGTTAGATTTAGACGAAGAAGATTTATAGCTATCTATTATTTATTTATCAAAAAATATATTTTACCCTCGTCAGATTCCTGGAGTTCTAAACTTTAATTTGACAGAACTGAGTTTTTGCAGTTAAAAGTATTTTTGTATAACAAGTATTTTTGGATCATCTGTTAACATGGAGGTGCATTCCTTTTAATTGGCTAATTTAATTACAAAATTGCTTAATTAAAAAAAATTTTATCACTCATTATATTAAATCTAAATTATAGTTGTTTGCCGAAATTGTTTTGGAAAAAATAATTACGGAAATCATTTTGACTTTTCATGTGAATGAACATAAAATAACTATGCTATTTGATTAAGAATTCAAATAATTTCGGACGTAATTTGGACAACTATTAGGATTAATCTCGGCTACTACGAAAAACTATTTCGGCATTTCGGATTCGACAATGATTTATTGATGGTTCTTTTCATTCTTTGTATTCTTTGGAGTGAAACCAGTTGACCGAATGAATGCAAGTGGTGTCTTCTGTAAGTTATTACTATGAAAATATTAACATATTAACAGACACAATCAACCAACATTGAATAATAATTGAGATCTTTGTTTATAATTGTATGATTGATCACCCTCCAGCTTAATTCTGACAAGTTTAATATGTAGACTATAGATAAATTCCGGCAAGCCCTTTTGAACTATATATCATTTAAAGAAATGACTTTTTATGGGTAAAATACCAAAAGTTATATGAATATATTGGGTAAAGTCTTTAAAAGTCATATGCCAATGTGGATAAAAAAAATTCAACTTTAAAAAGAAAATAAGGCCAACTTGAGAGGATTATCGATATCTTCAGTAATTTGTTTGTTGGGATGCTATTTTCCTAACGTAAATAGTTTCCTGTCGATATGGTCTCTCTGCTTCATAGATGATTTGACGTTTCAACTTTCTTCAATATTTTGCCAGAAAATCTTTTATCCCACATAGTGATTCTCGATTGGAATCACTAGTATTATCTGGGCCATTAATATAGATAGTAATAATAAAATTATTAACGTTAGTAGAGAAAGTAACTTTAAAATTAAAAATTTTATTATTTTAATTTTTCTAAAATCGCTCGGGAGTCCTCGTTTGATATTATAAATATAAAACGTCATTAGCTTCCAAAAATCAGGTCATCAGTATATTCTTGAATCAAGACCACACGCAATTCATAGAAGGTCTGTCCAATCCAATTACCAAAGTACCAAAAGCTGTTTAAAACTCGTGCGATCCTAAAATGAATTCTCGTCTGCCACAACATCATACCATACTATGCGCCCAAGCTAGATGTCAGAAATCCTGTCTTGTGGTATTAGTAACGAATTTATATCTTCTGTAGCTACAGTTTATGACAATAACAAGATGCAGAATCCTAAGCCAATTCTAGAAGAACTCTGTCAATACGAAACGTCCTTATTTTTTCGTGCCAGACCTCTTCTTCCGGTTCTTCTAAATATTATTCGATTTCCAAAAGTTCTACAGCACTAATAGTAAGTGATGATGATATTTGTCGTGTTTCACGAATTGACTTTTAACAATTATACGAGTTGGTTCCTTTTTTATTATTTTTTTTTAAAGATGGACATCAACCTTTATTGCAACCTTCACAGTAAGTACTTTGAAATTTATGTGTTAACTCGCTTTTATTTTGAAACAAATAACTAAGTGTTCATTATTTCTAAAATAAAAATGATATTTATTTTCAAGTAATTAATTTATAAATGTTGTTCTTTAGATTTTTGTTTTAAATAAATTCGCGGATACATCAAAAATTAATCAACTGTTCAAATATTATTATAATATAAAATTACTATCCAAATTCAACAATTTTCTCTTAATGGTTACGGAAGGTTTGATGCGGGTAATTATCATTGTAATTTTTTTAATTATAACTTTTTATTGTAATTAACTAGGAAATAAATGATAAACCATCATCACTTGTAATATTAAATGTCAAATTCTGAGAGTAATTTACACAAAATCATGAACTCTGTATTATCTACTCTAAATGATAATATGGAAGGAGATAAACATGCAGAAGTTCTAAGTGGGTAAATAGACTATACTTTTATTTCAGCAACAGTGTACCTTGCTGATTTAACAAATATTTTAAAGAAACTAATCAATTAGAACATTTGTGGCATGCTTGCAACAGACAAAGTGAACATTGTATCACCTAAAGATTCCAGGATCCAAAACTATTTACAAACACTTGTAGTAAAGAAAATGTCAATTGGCTAAAAATATGATATTTGAAATATTATTAACTAATTTGAGAAAACAACAAATCGCGATTAAGACTACAATATCTTTCCTACAATCAATAAAAATGGGGTTTTTTAAAAAATGATGAATAGAAGTTATTTTTGGATTCCTGGTTTTTTAGATGCTAATAAACTTGATGGTTAATTATTAGTTAAATCAGAAATTGGTTGCGACTTTCTTCCCTTTTTGTCGACCCATTCAAAAGTGATTCAAGACACTTACTGTCATCGGCTACACTTTTGTAAACGGATAGTAACGCGTATATAAATTCCTTCACATCATGTAGCTCCAAAGAATTGTATGGAACCTGAATTTCAGAATGAAATGGTACCCTCCCAATTGGGGAAAAAGCTTCATCGTAATAAAGAAAAGTAATATGTGTATCCAAGAATAAAATTACACACATGTATACCTTGCATGTAAATATTATTATGTAAATTAAATTTTTATAAGATAAAAAAATCCTTGTCAATTAATTGAATGTAGATGAATGTGTCGATTTCCATCACAGTTCATGTGCCTTCATCAATTTTTTTTTGTTGTGGATCTGTTTCTCATTTTCTGATTTAAAAGCTTACTGTAAATGTTAAAAAAATTATAAATATTAACTCTAGTAAAAATAAATTATTCAAAATGATATTATTAATTCACATATTCTGCTTGCTATGTAAAAATAACATTTGTCTATTCTGCCAGTGTCTTTTGGGATGGAAACAAAAAATTCCTCGCTGATACTTTTTTCAATAAACGTTTCTATTTAATAAATAATCGATTTGGACAATTTTTTGTAATAAAATCTGCATAATAATGCAGCTGGACCGTGGAAATCAATAATATAAGATAAAGCTGGTATGTCATGAGCAAATTCTTTAATGTCAAAATGTTGCCCTATTAATTTGAAACTTCCAAGGACTTTATTATATAATGCATTGAATCCAAATCATTTTAAACAATAATATTTATTTAATTAACAATTATCCTATATGATTTAATGGCAAATAAATATCCTTCAGTAATATATTATTTTAATTTTTTGTAATAGGATTGTTTGATGATTGTACTAATTCGTTGGAAGAATGTGTTTTAGAAACCTTTTTTAATTATTATTATTTATTTACAAGTATAACAAATAATTGTCTTTTTATAATAAAACAAGAATCACGATGAGTTGCAATGATTGAAACCACCACCACTATTCTTTTAAAAATAATAATAACGTCTTGTCTTAATTATTCATTTTTTTTTTACAATTACTAAATGTATAATAATGCATATAAATCTAGATTTTTAATATATATTAATTTAAAGTTTCCAAATTTCCATTTAGATGTTTTTGCCCCCCATTAATTCACAAATTGTCCTGTTTTTTGGTGGTAGCTTTGATATAATAAATTACTATTATTATACTTTTGAAGATAGTAGAAAAACAGCAATGTATAATATCATGATACCATGTTATATATAATAATAATAATAACAACAACAACAACAATAATATAATAATAATAATAATAATAAATTCAGTATTAGAATTTCGAAAGGTCATTTATATCCAACCAGTGATAATATATATATATAACTGGCCCATATATTCAGTACTAATTCATAATACAAATACAATGTAAATAATAAGCATCACACCAAGACAACCAGCAAACATCATATATAGGATGATCTAAAAATTTTTGATGACATTTCAATAAATCACCTTGATTTACTAAAAAGTAACATGCCAGATTCAGATTTACAAATTCAACATCAAAAGCAAATGAACATATTTTTTTAACAAGGCGTAATGAAAATTAACTAACTATGGAAAAATATTGTGAGTCTTGGATTGGCAAATAATCTGTACACCTTCTGAAGTCACGAAATCTGGTACTTTAATGTTAAATATGATTAATCTAAAATTACTGCTATTTGATTCAGTTCAAAAGTAGTCAGTCTTTTGTCATGTGCCATTGAAAGTAAAATCGTCCAATTAAAACTATATTTATCAAAGTTGCACAAGTAGCACAGCCATCTTCACGAAGAAGGCTTATACTTTTTTTTAATATTTAAAAATTAAAAATGTTTTTTTCTTTTTTATTTATATTTTATGAACATTTCTAATTATTAATCAACAAATAGTAATAAAATAGAAACCATAGTATCCATATACATATTTTTATAATGGAACAGTTAAATAATATCACTATTTGGGATGTTAAAGATGCATTCAATAAAGTGTAATGATTTTGAAATTCATTCAATGGAATTAAAAATTAAATTAAAATTAAAATTGGTTAATTAATTAATATTATTCTTATTCACTTTAGGAAAAATGTTGTAATGAATTATACAGAAATGGAGGCTAAAGTACGAGAAGCAACTAATAATGAACCTTGGGGTGCTAGTAGTACTTTAATGTTAGAAATTGCTCAAGCTACATATAATTAGTAAGTTGAAATATAAAATAAAGGATCATCTAATGGTTAATAATAAAGAAAATGACAACAAAGAATGATTTGATAAATGATTATTGATTGACCGATCTATCGATCGAACGATTTATAATTATCATCTTCATATCGTAATTATTCAAAAATAATTACTTATTTTTTCATTTTTTTCCTCAAGTCAATGCTTCAACGAAATAATGACAACAATTTACAAAAGATTTACAGAAAAAGAAGCAAGATATTGGAGACAAATTTATAAAGTTAGATTTTTATGTTCATTGTTTCTAAAAATTTAAAATTTAAAAACGGCATCATCATTGATTATTATTGTTGTTACAGGCGCTTCAATTGTTGGAATATTTGGTGAAGCACGGTTCTGAAAGAGTTGTGGATGATGCACGTGCACATATAGCTTCTATAAAAGTAATGAAAAGTTTTTCTTATTTTGATGAAAAAGGAAAAGATCAAGGCTTAAGTGGTAATTATAAAGATGGGGAGGGGTGTCAGTTGAAATGGATGACGGAGGGTGAAGGGGTGGAGGAGTGAAAATCAATCGATTATTTATAATAAAAAGCTTATCAATAAAATATTTATAATGTATAGTACGAAATAGAGCAAAAGAACTTTCAGAATTGTTGAATGATGTAGAAAAAATTAGAGCAGAACGTAAAAAGGCTAGGGCTAATAGAGCAAAATATACAGGTGTTAGCTCAGGATCTGTTAGTTATGGTGATTCTTTCAGCAGAGGTGGGGGATTTGGTACTGATGGTTATTACGGCGGAGGTGGTACAAGTAATGGCATTAGTTTTAGCAGTGTTGGAGGAATTAATGGCGTTGGTGTTAATGGAAATTATAGTAAGCAATTTTATATAATATTATACTTATTAATACGTGAATAATAATAATAATAACAACAACAACAACGATAACAACAATAATTAAATTATAGGAAGTCATAATTATCATGATCAAGATGAAGATCGTGCCTATAGTCAGTGCGATGATTCTAATACACAATGGCAAAATGAACGAAATAGAGGAAGATCTAGTGCTGATTCCAATAATAGGAATAGTTTAGGATCTTCTAGTAAATCGATAAATGTTAATACCAACAACAACAACAACAACAACAACAACAACAACAACAACAACAACAATAATAACAACAACACTGCTACAACAACTACTACGACATCTGCAAGTGATTCAATAACCCAAGAAGCCAATTTGTTTGATTTTGAAGATTCATTACCCAATATTAATAACGACTACGACAATGATGATGATAATAAACATATTAAAACAAATTCAACCGATTTTGGTAAAACAATGCAATAAAAAACTTTTTCGCAAAATTTATTTAATTTATTTACTAAATTTATTTTTATTTTTTTTGATTTTTTGTTTGTTTAGATGACGATTTTCAAGATTTTCAAAGTGCAACATCAACGTTTGTGCAATCCTCCTCTTCAAATTTAGCTGGTATTCAAACCAAAGCCAACAACTCTAACACTAAAAACACAAGTGCTGCACTACTACTAAAACCTTTACAGTTAAATACTACATTACCCAGCGTCAATAATACTAACAATAGTCACAACAATAACAATAATAAGTTGTTTGATGATCTATTTGCGTCTATTTCACCTACTTCACATACTAACAACAACAACAACAACAACAACAACAACAACAACAACAACAACAACAACAACAACAACAATAACGGTATCGCACAATTGAATGGAAATTCAATTATCTTTTCGAACAACAACAACAATAATAATGGGATCGCACAATTGAATAGAAATTCAATTATCCTTTCGAACAACAACAACAACAACAACAACAACAATAATATTAACAATAATTTCTTCACGTCAACTTCATTAAATCAAGCAAGTAATAATAATAAATCAATGTCAACATTAAAATCCGATGATATTTGGGCAGCAGCTTCAAGTCTCGTAAGCTTGGATTCTTTAGGCAAGGAACCCAACATTAATAGCAATAATAAAATCAATACTAATCATAATCATAATAAACCATCAATGAATTCACTTGCACAAGCTGAAATTTTATCATTGCCAGTTAAAGGTACATGGACGACTAATAATCACCTTAATAATAACTTTAATAATTATAAACAACAACAACAACAACAACAATCTCAAGACCCGTTTGATTTATTATTTTAATATTATAAATGATATTTCTACTAATATTAAACAATATATATAAATATATATAATTTGTTATTTTTTTGTATTATTAATTTTTTTTTTTGGTAGAAATTTAAAAAATAAAAATTTTTTATTTAATAATTTATTGTTTGTTATATGCGTGTTTAATAAAACGAACGAGTATTATTAAAAAGAGAAATAATATTACAGTTACATATAAATGAAAATAAATAATTGAAAATGGTCAAGTTATTGTTATTATTAATAATTATTTAGCAATGCCAAAACCTCCAACGGTTTTAGCAAAAGATCTTGCCTTAATATTTTGTTTTTTCAACATTAATTCTACAACGCTTCCAATAACATATAAAATAGTAGTTAAAGCAATCAAAATAACAAACAATGAATATTTTTTAATCCAACCAAGGAACCCTTCATCGTCTGCTGATGGTGGTGGTGATGATGATGATGATGATGATGATGAATTTGGATCTGGGTTATTGGGGCTTGTAGGTGGTGGTGTTGAGGATTTGCCATCTTCCAAATTGAATGTAACATCTTGCAACGAATACCAAGCTTTAGCCTTTTCCACCACTATGGCTCTAACTGTTACACTACCAGTTTTAGCTCCGGACCAACTGAATTTCAAAGGAAGTTTTTTAACAGTTTTGGCGGTGTGTGTTACGGCACTGGGGTCGCCACTACAAGGTTGGAATGCGGAATCAGCTATATTAAATTTACCAGTTTTAGTATTATCTGCAGAATTCACTACGTAAAGTAGTAAACCCTCTAATGGACCAGTACCGGCAACTGATATATCAAAATTTCCTCCTGTTCCAGTTGTTGATAATGTATAACCTCCAGTGCCAGTTTTTTTTAATTGAGAACCATGTCCTGATGTTGCCATTTCCTCAATAACACAAGTACCAGCTCCGGATGAAAATGAGGAAACATTATTGAAATTATTTTGAACGAAAATGAATAAAATTAAATAAACAATGGAAGAATAATACTTTAACATTTTTATATATATTATTTTTTTTTTTTTTATTATATTTTCTTTTGATTTAATGTATTTAATGTTATAAATATGAAAAAGAATCGCTCAACGATTCAAAATATTTAATGTATGTTTTTTTTTTTCGAAAAAAAAAAGTCGAAGAAAATGAAGATGAAAAAGAAAGGGTGGATGTGAGTAGAGTTTAATGAATAATTAATATAATTAAATAGACCAAGAATTTTATTTTATTTTCTTTATAAAAATTGATTAACCCAATAAAGAAAAAAAATTAAAATTATCCTGTTACACGTATTATTATTATTATTACTGTAATTGTTATACTATGATCACGTACAGCAGCGGGGTCAACTTAAGTCCCCCCTCTCCTAAAAATTTCATGCATGTACAAAAATTTGTTCCTTATATTTAGACATTTGGGAACACCTTTTATTTGCCAATATAGTTTGAATCTTCTCCAACATTTCCCTTACAAAGTTCGAGTAAATTATCCATATAAAATATAATATTAAAAAAAAATCAAAATTTTTGCCTCTGACAGTGGCTTGTATGTATTATATTCATCCAGATTTCTCTTTTTTTCTCTTGCTTTCCTAAATCCAGCCATCTCATAATATGCAATTTACTTTTTCATTTTGATCTACAGCAACAAATAAATCCCTTCTTCCAGGGTCAACATCAACTACTCTAAATCCTCCCTAATCTAATTTATCCCTTTTACCGATTTTTTGGCCTTTGTAGTTCTATTTCTGGTAAAAAATTTTCTTATATTAAAGCTTCTATTCCACCAATAATCAAAATTTTCTTTGAAAACTTCTCTAGTTACTAGATCATTAAAGCCCATAATTGGTGTAATGCTTTGATATCAATGTTTATTAGAGATTGTACCCACTGAATATTCATTCATTTAATCAATTAAATTTAATATTTGGATAATCATTTGGTGAATAATTAAAAATATTCAGATATTAATTCAACCATTAAATTGATTATTCAGTGAATATTCATTGTTAACAAAAAACTTTAATTTAATCATTTTACATTCTATCAAAATTATCAATATTTTTTTTTTTCAAAAAAAAAAAAACTTTTCAGATTAAGTTTTGTTCTTTTTGAGGTCATCATATAAGTATGTAATATAATTGGATGTAGATTCATCACTACATACTACATACAACATTACAAGGAACAATAATACCAAAAACTTTGGAGACATTGACTTGACAAATAGTTACTTTAAATTTTTTACAATTTCAGTTTCTTCCATCAAGTTTCATATCCAACTTGACTTCTTAGAACCACCCTTTACTTCAACATATGAGCAGCAGAACCTTATCCCTTCTCATTATCGTATTATCACTTTCTCCTATTATAGTGATTGAAGGCTTTTCTCCATTTTAAATTTAATTAGATGAATTTATTTATTGATTATCAGTTATTCAGTAAATATCCATTTTTAATTTATTATGTTCAGTCAATCAAATCAATGAAAAAATCAAATATCTGATTAACCAAATATTCACTGAATATTATTCATTGGGTACAGCTTCTAATGTTTATGTTTCTTTGTTAGAATGGAGTGAAAGAGCAAAATTTTTTGGCATGAGGATTTTTTGAAATAAAGAATGCAAGAGGGGAGCAATTTTTTTACTTGTTTGTTTTTTAGTGACAAGGTTCCTAAGAGATTTCTTGCTTTTTGCAATATATAAATAAATCTAGTAGAAGCAACATCAAAAAGTGAAGGATCCCTGATGTTAAAACAGAATGATGGAAGTGAAGGTCTTGAACCACTGTAAAGGATTCTATAGGGTGGTTGGTTCACTGATGTTGTCTTTGAAAATGGTATTCAAGTCAATCCATTTATTGATGCAATTTTCCAGGTACTGATTAGCTGATGATATAATAAGCTGAGCAAGATAACTATAAGCATTGAATTTAACGATAGAATTATTTATTAGAAGTATGGATAATAAGGATACATACTGACTGCAACTTTTGATAATGGTTGCGATCACTTTGTTTCCTGTTTTGGATTGCGAGGACACTGATGGATAACAAACCTTGAATCTATCCATTCCTTTTCTGCTGAACGACAAGGAATATATAGAAAGTCACGGCAAAATGGATAGTTAAATTAGCAGTAACACATGGTATAATTTGTTTGTGGCCGTGACAGCTTTAAAAAACACGGCGAAAATGTTTGGTTCAGAGTAGGAATAGTTTGGTTTGTATTTATAAGATAAAGGGCTATTATATTACAAATAGGTATCCTCGTAAGTTATTTTTCAACTGAAGTTTGAACATCATTTTGATTAAGAAGTTTAAGTAGGCATATTTTACTATAGATGGCGTATATTTGATATCAGATAATCTATTTTTCAGTTGTTTGGATTATTGGACTTTTTAGTGGATTGATTTATTATTGATTTATTGAAGGTGTGAATTGTTCTTTTTACAAAAGACGTTTTTAATACAAGATAGCAAAATTGTTATAACACGGTGACATTATAATAAACTTTTTTAATTTGTCGTTTACTTGCCTATTTGAATATTTAAAATTTCATAACAAAAAATTTATATATAATAATGGGAAAAGTAATTAATTTTTTTTCAGTTGTTGTTATCTTATTACAGTTCACTCTTTCTATAACGACGCTAAGTAAAACCTCACTTCGCCTTTGCCACCGAATTCATTAATTTCTCTTTCTATAACAAACAATGGCAGAAAAATCACATATGGTGACGGAAGGTTCGTCGTTATAAAGAGAGTGAACTATATAAAACAATACATGTTTATAACAAAATAAGTTAGAGATTAAAAGTGTTGGCAAAAAAGAAAAGGATCAAGGGCGTTATGCGTGTCAAGATGATGTTTTTTTATCTTGTCAATCGAAAAAGTAATAGTTTGCTAAAAGCAATAATTTGGTCAACAAAGTAAACTCTCTCATTAATAACCGAAAAAGTGATAGTTTATCATTGATTGATCAAAAAGGCAATAAATAGTTCTTTGTTGTTTGTTAATTAATCGAAAAAGGAATAGCTTATCCAGTCATTAATTAATCGAAAAAGGAATAGCTATCCAGTCATTAATTAATTGATCAAAAAGGCAATAAATAGTTCTTTGTTGTTTGTTAATTAATCTAAAAAGGAATAGTTTATCCAGTCATTAATTACCATTAATTAATTGATCGAAAAAGGAATAGTTCTTCTCGTTAATTAATCGAAAAAGTAATATATAATTATCTATCAATAATTAATTGATCGAAAAAGTAATAGTTCTTAAAATATAACGATTTTATCTCAGTTGCCAGATTTATTGGTTCGAAACGTGGGCCATTAACTGAGACATTAACAAGTGCGTTTTCTCTTCTTGTGCTTTAAATGTTTCTTTTTCATGTAAAATATGATATTTTCAAAAAGTTATAAAACTTGCGCATCAAATACTTTGACGGATATAGGCCTAACTTTATATCAATCACATAGACATGTATGTCTTTACTAGCTGAACTAGGTCTTCCATCTAAAGGAATGATCTTTGTTTGATCTATACATTTCGAGTTAGATGGTGGTGGATTTCAACTATTTAAAATACTATAGCAAAAATTGAGCGTTAAATAACCAGAATAATCACCAAGAGCATCAAAAAAAAAAAAAAAAGCAATACTTTATGTTTGAAAGCTTCTGGGAAACTTATCATCATCATCATCGTTTAAAACTGATTCGGAATCTATACCCAGTATTCTTTAAAAAATTAAAATGATTCCTGAAACACTAGAAGTAGCAATTGATCTTTTTGGTTGTTTAAGCAAAGTCAAAACTTTATTTTTTTATTTTTTTAATTGAACTGGCAGCAATCGAGGACATTTGATTGACCAAAACTGTTGAAAGCAATCTTTTTTCATGTGTGAATTTACTTTTTCTTTAGAATATTAAAAAAATTTAATTAATAAATAACGTTATTATGTCTTCGCGTAAAATTTCTGCGAAGAAAATTAAATTAACGTAGCAATTAAAATTTTAATAAAGATCAAAGAAGAATGTATAGATATAATAATCCTAAAAATTGTATGGTTAACGCAAAACAAATCTCATACCAACAGTTCCTAGCCCTAGCACACCAGCGTATAAATAACATAGTGAATTGTCTCTTTGATAGTCTTTTTTCTTAAAAAAAAAAAAAAGAGACTACAGCCACTTGTGACCTTAATGCATATATATTATTTTTCTCCAACTTTCATAAAAATCAGATCCATTTGATAATTTTCTGATGCAATTTAACGAATGGCAAAGCATTTTATTAGAATTAATAAACTCATTAAATAGTTCACCCTAAGGATATATGTTATTGAAGTGCAACGTTTTTAGCGACTATAAGAATCACTTAAATCCTAACTATCATTAATTAATAATTTTTCTATTTTATTTATTAACAATTTTATATTAAATTAAATTAAATGAAATTATATATTGTATCAGAAATCTATTTTGCAGATTAATACACGCAATGTAGTTATTATTCATTGTGGAACCATCTTCCTTCACCACCAAACCTTTCCATTTCCCTAGTAGTACTTCTAACACTACTAGCAGTGGTAGCATCATCACCTTTTTTTTTATTCACCGTTGATTTTTTCTCTCTTCCCATAACACCGATTCTCTTCTTCCCATTTAAATCATACTCATACCCAAACTCATTATCATCATCATCTTCTTCTTCTTCTTCTTCCTCTTCCTCACCTTCACCTTTTAATTTTCTGACTTCCTTTTTAAGATCTTTTACCTGTTTGTTTAATCCTTTAACTTGTAATTGAAACCCTTTTCGCATATTTATCATTAAATGATACAAATCATCTATTGTAAGTTCAGGTGTAGTGTATATATTTGATTGTTGATCATCATCTAATTCATTGTCATTTTCTGGAAAATATTCTTGTGGAAGTTGATGAGATATTGGAGGTGATGATGACAATTCTGGCAATCCTGGTAATTCTGGTGAGATTTGTGAATTTTTAATATCATTACCGTTATAATTATTATCGTAGCTATTATTGTAATTATCGTTGAATTTATTATTATTATAACTATTAATAAAGGAATCTTCTTCATATTCATCACCATTGTTGTTGTTACTAATGGTTTTAATTTGTGATTTTTTAAAAGATGAAGATTTGCTTTTTTGTTTTGTAAAATTCATGAATTTGAAATAATTTTTGTTTTTAAATTTTTGCGAGTGAGAAAGAGATTGTGGAGGCGGTGGTGGTGGTGGTGGAAGTGGTGGTGATAATCGTTGTTGATAAGAGGAAGTAATTATTGGTGGGGGTGGTGGCGGCGGCGGCGGCGGCGGCGGCGGTGGTGGTCGTGATATAGTTGATTTTTTGGTTTTAATTACTGGTGGTGGTGGTGGTGGCGGAGGAGGTGGTGGTGGATATATTGAAGATGATTTAGATTTAGATGGTTTATGACGTTGATAGTTCTTATTCGTATAGTCGTTGTTGTTGTTGTTGTTGTTATCATCATCGTCTAAATCCAAATCCTCTTCTTGATAGTCATTACCATCTGAAGGTGGCGAAGGTGGAAATGATGGGAATTTTTTATCATTTTTTTGTAAAGTGTTAGTTGTTGATTGATGTATTGGAAATTCCCCATCATCTTTATAACTATCATAATAGTTAGGCTCATTATCCTCATAATTATTGTTATCGTCGTCGTAAGTATAATTCTCGTTGTAATCTTCTTCATTTTCATATGTATAGTTATAATTATCATTATCATTATTATTATAGTAATAGTCTTCATCTTCGTCTTGGTTTTCATTTTCATCATATTCATCATTTTCATAGTCATAACTGTAATTTTTAATTGGAATTGGAGGTAAGTTTTTTTGTCCAATTTTTGATATTGACGTTGATGAATTTGTTGGCAAATTTTTATTTATCAAGCTAGACATCTTTATTTTTATCTTTCTCTGAAAGATTATAAAAAAATAAGAGAGATACTTTTAAAAAAACAAAAAGATTTGACAAAAAAAAAAATCTATGTATGTTTATGTATATGTGTATATATATATATATTTATTTATTGTCTCTCTATTTTTCTAATATTAAATTAGGATTAATGAATGTATTTTTTAGTTAATATTAAAAAGTTGAGTGTTTCAGTATTTAAAAAAATGATGTCTTAGATGTAAAGCAGTTTCCAAGTTTTTTAAAAAAAAATAAAATGATCAACACTTTAAAAATTTCAAAATAATTTTTTCCTTTGTTTTATTTATTTATAATTAATTAATTTAAATTACACTATTACTATTAAATTGATTTACTAACTATTACTGAAAAATAAATTGAAAAAAACTTTACACAATATTTACTTACAATGACTCCATATATATATATAACAATAATCATTTTAAATGTCTTCCTTTTCAGGCTTTTTTAAATTTTACTATTACGGCCGATAAATGCATAATTTTTTGAAAAATATTGTTGGGCCCCCCAACACTAGTGAAATTTGATTGGCGGGCGATATGTGTATGTACTATATACTAAATACTCGATGGTATTATTGCTACAAAATCATTTAACTCTGTTGGAAGAGAACAAAAAATGTCATTGGCTACGGTATGCGAAGAAATGGATTTATTTATTGTTCGATTGGTTGATTAATTGGTTTATATATTTTTATAAGATTTTTGTTATGTTGATATTAGAATGATGGATGAGGTTAGTATGTTTGAAGTAGAGTCAAATGAACTCAAATTTAAAAATAATGAATATATGTCTTTTTGGATTTTGTTAATGGTAGCAACATTCCGCAAAGCCTTTCAATTAGATATTGCCACTAATTAAAACATGGTCCAATCATATATACACTGGCTTATATGTAATAAACAATGGAATGTATTCTTAATCTTTCCTGGCTTCATTATGAGCACTGGAATTAAGAATAATAAATTTATATTTTTACTCAATGCAAATAAAATTTTCCCAAATTCTTTTAATGTAAAATAATTATAACTTTACTATTGTTTTTTCTTATAGGTTTATATTTTTAAAAAGGATATATGTACAATGGAACGGTTAATAATATTGATAGCCTAGATGCAAATGAAATTTTAAGAATTAATTGATGATTTACAAAATTATTTAATCAATGAAAAAAATGAATGACTTCATCAAAATTCAATTAATTCAAGGTTTCTGTAATAAATTAATTTGTGAAAATCTTGAATCGTTTTTAAAGTCTAATGATGTGCAACAATTGAAAAATCAAAGCTTGTTTCTATATTGTAAAAAGACGAATTGAAATTGGTATTAGGGATTGTGTCATTCAATGGAGTGGGTATAGGACAAAACAAAAAAGATATATTCCAGTGAGATGAGAAATACATTGAATAATTAATTAGATTCAGTGAAATATCTGGAGAAAAGTTTTATGAGAAAATCAATCCATATAAAAATGATTTTGATAATCTTATTGATGATGAATGACAAGATTGTTTTTTCAAAAAGGCAAGTACCGTAAACAACCCTTTTTAACTTTAATTTTTCTTGGGCGTGTATGATTTTTAGGCCAATCAAAATTGGTGACAATTTTTATCCAATCAAATTTTTGGGGGTAGTTTCTAAAATTGTACTAGTTACACGACGAGATTCTTGGACATTTTTGTATGAAACCCCTTACTTTATTAAGTAAAAATGTTACATCCCAAAAAAGTATATTTTAATTCTAATTCTAATCCAATCAAAATCTTCTTGATAAATAAAATAAACAACATCAAAAAAAAAAAAAAAATAAATAATATTTATTTATTTAATATATATTTCAAACACGCACATAAAAAATGATTAAAAATTGCAATAATGATAATAGTAAATATAGACTACGAACTAGAAATTTGGATCAAATTCGTCCATACACCATAGAACGTAGAAAAGCTGCAGCACAGGGAATCCCTGTTTACGTTGACGAAATAGCTAGAAAAATACAAAACAAAGATTGTTATGTATTAGAAGATATAGACCGTGAATTTGTAGTGGAAGACAAAAAAAAGTTGGATGATGCTGATGAATCGTCAAAATTTGATATATCTTTAGATGAAGTTTCATCTAGTGGCGAAGAATTACATTCATCAGATGATGATGACGAGGAAGAAAATTGTAATTATACAAGTTCAGATGATATTTCTGACTTGGCAGAATTTATTGATAATATTAAAAAATCAAGCGGCATAAGCATGAATAATAATCATGCAAATAAGAGAAACCATATGAATAATTCAAATAAGAGAAAGTCCGTATCACCAAGTACTCCAAATAAGCCAAAGTACGTGTCACAACCAAGAAATGTCACAGCCACCGCTAATCTTGGAAGCTTAAATAATTCAATTATACAAAGAATATATAATTCTTCGCCTCCTCCGCCGCCATCAAGAAAACCAGATTTTGATTGGATTTTAGATGATGATGATAGTGAATTGTTTTCTAGAAATTTAATTAACATTAAAAAAGATACAAAAGAGCATGAAAGATGTATATTTAAATCAATAGATAATTTGCAGAACAAGGAGGACATTAATTTAGAAAATAATATTGTAAAGAAATGTTTAAAAAATATTCATACAATTAATAGTGATGATGATGATGATGAAAATGATAACGACGATAAAGAGAATTCAGAAAGCTCTTGCTCAGAAAATATATTAATCATTGGTGTAAAAAGATATAAGAAAAAAAACAAACAAAATAATAATAATAATAAATTATTAGAAAAGAAACTTAATGGTGGCGGTGAATTTTCTACGCTGGCTAATCACAAAAAACTTGAACCATCACTGACATTACCGTTAGAAATCGAAGAACCCCTTAAAGAACTGTGTCGTATTGCTGAATTAACACCTGAGGTTCATCTAGAAAAACTTATCGAATTGTTTGAAAAATTATATTTAGAGATTGATATCAATCGGGATTGGCCTTTACAATCAAAAATATTAATGACACGAATATCAAGGATGATAAAAACTTGGGAATTGAATGGCATAGAAAAGATCGAGAATTCAAGTAAATTGATTGGGAGAATTTTCTATTTTTTGACTGAATTGTTTAAAAATATTCCCAAAGATGTGTTTTTAATTAAAAATTTTGTCGAAGTTCAATATACATTAATTGACAAAATTTACAACATACTTATTAAAAATCAACAAAAACAAAATTATAATAATAATTATCTACTAAAAATTATACTACCCGATCTCTTGCCAGAATTAGAAAAGTTGTTGGATTATTTAATATTAAAGAAAAGCATTATTTATTATACTTCTTCACAAAAATTTCTATTAAAGATGGTTTCATCAATCTTACTATTAATAGAAAAAAAGTCGATGTCTAGCATTCAAGGGTTATTAAAAAACCTATTACAAATATATTATAAAATAGTAACATTTCTAAACATATCACCTGAGAATAAGGTAATTTAGTTATTAATTTTTTTTTCTTTTCTTAGGAAATATACTCATATAAATGTTTTAAAATAGGGAAGTATTCTTCAAATCATTCAATGGATAAAACATAACGGAAATTTAGGTAAGTAATATATATAGCTTCATTATTATTTATTTTTACAAATTTTCTTTATTATAATGAATGTTTTATTATAATTATTTTAGAATTATCACTTCGTGCTATAGCAGCTGATTGTAATCGATCACTTTCAAAATAAATTATTATTATAATTATAATAATTATAATTATTATTATTATTATTATTATTTATTATTATTATTATTATTATTTAGAGATTAGACGCATGCGCGCATATTTTATATATAAATATATAATAAATACTATGTATTCAATTAAAACAAAAATTAAGAAAATATGGAAGGGATTTATCTGTCCTTTTCTTTTCCAGATGTAGCCATGATTACCATAGAAATAAAAATAATTTTGATTCATTTCTCTTTATCATTAGAAAAAAAAAATTTTTTTTTGAATTTTAGAAAAATTAAAAATTAAAAAAAAATGTCTCAAACAGCCAAAGTAACTTTAGTATCAGCATTAATACTTACCATAGGAACAGTTTGGGGTGTTCACTATTTACAAAGAAAAGAACGAGAGGTAAGTTATATATAATTTCACAAGAAATGGGGTTTTTTTCTTTTCTCGCTTTTATTTGACTTTAATTAAACATAATCTGAATAGTTTATGCATGCAGGAATATTAAGAGAAGAGGAGCAAAAATCCAAAAAAGAAAACATGGAAAAAAATAAATTGGAACTTGAAAAACAAATTATGTTACAACGTGAATATGAACAAATTCAACCAGTACTAAAAAACAACAATAATGATAATAACACTAAATAATTCCAATCGTTTTTATTTATTTATTATTAACCTTTTTTAATTCTTTAATGCCAATTATCATCATTCTTTGCTATAATCGCCCCAGTTTTCATGGATCTCTTTAATACTCTTATATATTTTAATGTCATAAATTTCTATATTAATAATCGCGTATTTTTTGGCAGTATCCACAGAAAATAATTTGAATATACACTGTGGGAGGATACAAGCTTTTTAATCATTAGCAATGTATATATAAACAACAACATATTATTATTTTAATTTATACAAAAATCTTTTTTGAAAAAATATATAATCAACTAAAAAATTTTTTTAAGCAAAACATTCCAATAATTTATTCATTATCCATTCATCCATCCGTTAAATTAAAAGTGCCATTTAAAAGTAATTCAATAGCTGCATTAACATTTCCACCAGAAGCTAATAATGCACGAATATTTTTCTGTGCATCCCAAAAACCCATATCGTTCAATTGTTGTAATTGAACTTGAAATCTTTCTTCGGGTTGTTGTGGGATAGTTGTTTGTGGTGGGACGCCTCCCCCCAGTCCAAATAACAACGATGGATCAATTGAAAAAAATGGTTGTTGTTGTTGATTATTAGTGTTTAGATTCCCAGTAAGATTTATTGCGGCAGCAGGATTAAGAAGACTAAAAAAAGGATTATTAATTGGTGGTGGAATGGCGGTGGTGGGTGTGGTAGTGTCAGTTGTTGGTGATGTAGCACTATTATCATTATTATTGGTCGAGGGTGTATTTGTTGTGTCAGTTGTAGGATTCATTGTGGAAGGATTTGTAGGAAGCATACTTGGACCATAACTTCCAGGGTTACCCATTAATGAACTTAAAGTTGCTATATGACGAATTGATTCTGGATTTGATAATAAAGAATGAAATTCAGGATCTTGTGTTACCTGCCTAAGTTGAGGTGCCATGCTTGCAAGTTGTGGATTCATAGCAATTACATTATCTGTGAATTGAGGATCTTGCATTAATTGTACAATGTACTGCATTAAAGCAGGGTTATTAAGAATATTTTCCATCTGATTCCAGTTTGGTATACTATTATTACCACCACCACCAAATGAATTATTAGTACCAAAATTCCCCCCACCTAGTGTTGCACCAAATGGAGGTATATTATTTTGATCATGTGTTGATTGGTTATTGGTAGTATCTGTTGGTTGAGATGAAACTAATAATGTTTTGAAAAACAAATCAATATGGTAAATAATAGAAACACTTGGCTTTTAATAAACATCTTGTTTTATAAAAACAATATAATAGAAAACATTTAACATACCACGAGCTAAACTTCTCACCATGTGAACTGTGTGTCCCTCAGCAATTTTACAGGTTTCAAGTGTATCATCATCTTTTAACACTTTACCAGAGTATATTAATCTTTGTCTATCTGCAGTAATGTCACTTTTTTCTGCAATAAATTGTTTAAATTCTAAAATAGTTTTTGATGTGTCTATAGTTATTGTATATTTTGTATCATTAGAACACTTTACTGTTATTGTCATTTCTGGCATTATGGTTCGTTTATTTATTTAAAAAAACATTAAATCGTAATATTATTTGATTTAGAGTGTGTTTTTTTGTCCTAATTCGTGACCGTTATTATTATTATTAGTATTAGTAATAATATTAATATTATAATGTGATCATTCCGAATTGGGGCAACCGAATTTCGGACGGATTCAATTTTGGGGCACAAAGTTTGACCATAGTAATAAGGTAATTATTAAAACTGTTGACAAGATTTTTTTAAAAATTAGTTAAACATAAAAAGAAAGTGCCATTTTCAAAAATGAGATCAAATGTTATGATTCAAAGATATATATATATGTATGTGTAAATTGTAAATTCTAAATAAAAAAAAACTAAATTTTTACAAAATGGCACAGACTTATAATGCTAGCGGACAATTCCTTGAGGAAACCTCAGGCATAGAACATAATATAAACACAATCCAAAAAAACATTGAAAGTATTCAAACGTTACAATCAGTTGTTCTGCTGAGTACTTCAGCACAACAGGAGGATGTCAATATTCAAAAACGTGAAAAGCTTATGTCGAGTACCAAAAATCTACTTATTGAAACCAAAGATCGTATTAAAAAAATCGAATATGAAAATGTTAAATTACCAAAAGATGATCCAAATATCAACCTTAGAAAACAAAGATTTCAGTTTCTCAAAGAAAAATTTACCAATGTGCTCGACAATTATCGTGATGTTGAAAATACTTATATGAGACAACAGAAAGATAGAATGACACGTCAATATAGAGTTGTCAAACCACATGCAACTCAAAATGAAATCGAGAGTTACTTGAACAATCCATCAAGCCAACCGCTTTTTCAACAAGCTGTAACTACAGGTGAAGCTCGTGCAGCATTTGCAGAAGTTCAAAAACGTCATGGTGATATAAAACAGATTGAAAAAACAATCGAGGAATTGGCAGATCTATTCCGTGAAATGCAATTACAAGTGGAGGAACAAGATACTATGATTTTAAATATCGAAGAATCTGTCGGTGATACCCTTGAAAAGACTAAACAAAGTAAATATTATATTTATTTAATCGCGTCTGATGTATATAGATTAAAAATGCACGCTTGCGAATAAATAAATAAAATTTTTTTAGGTGAAGGCTTTCTTGAAAAAGCACGCGAGAGTGCAACTCAAGCAAGAAAAAAGAAATGGATCTTTTTAGCAATTATAATTACCGTTATTCTTATAATTGTAATAATTATAATAATGCAATTTGGTGTTAACGTAAGTGTACAAGCTTCATCTCCATCTGCAGTTACTGTGACAGCAAGTCCTTCCGCATTATTTCCTTCAACTCCCTAATAAAGCACATATATTCATATTGTATACTTACTATATGATTGATTATTCATATATACCTTTTAATTTTAATAATTAATTTTTTTGATTTTTGTAAATTTTAATTTAATTTATTTTCTTAAAATATTTTCCAAAAATAATCCATTATTTAAACAACCATTCAAAAATTTTCTACTTGACATTATTGTTTAAAAGCATATAAATAAGTTTTAATAAACAATGATGATAAAATAAATAAATATGAAATATTATGCTATTAAATTAAATGAAGGAAAAACTTGAAAAAACAATTGGTTAATGAGGATAATGTTGAATACATATATGGCAAAAACAATCAATATATTAATGAAGTTAAACTTTGAATATTAGAGTCATTGTTTGGGGGGGATGAGGCAAAAGCATTTTAATATTAACTATTTTGTATATATAAAATTTTGAAACAAATGATGCAAATACCAAAAAAAATTCAACACTCCTGGTTAGCTGGTAGTTTTAAGTGGTTGATATAAATAAACACGTGTAACAGAAAAAACAACGCACCTTTTCCATAGATCCTTTGGAATATTCTGAAACGTAATTGGATTGAATAAGCCACACGCACAATTCATCCATCCATGTATAACGGCCGATTTTTACTACCTATCTCATAATACTAATTTGTACAACATTTATTTGCTAAATTTAGATGCGTCATTGTTCACATGGAAAAAAAATTTTTCTGCTAAATGGCAAGGAATTGACAAGGATAGTGATAGAATGTGAAGTAAGGATTTTAATTCGTGTAAACGGGAGAATAATGGATTTTTATTTAACGGTCATATAAAGATTATTCTAATGAATAACACGAGAAAACAAACTTTCATGAGCAATCAAGTATAAAGTTTGCCCATGACTCATGTCCCTATTCATATAAACGAAAATTTTTTTTTACGCCAGATTGACATTTGAGATTTTTTTTGAGGGCTAACAATTTTTAGAAAATTAATTTGATTAATAATAATTTGCTAAAAATCTTCAACCAAATTTGTATGGCTGTATGCTAGACAAATTTAAAATTACATCATTCGTATTTTAATATTTTATATATATATAAAAAACTCGGCTTTGCCTTTATTTTATAAATTACCGCAGTAATATTTATATTATTTTTTTCCTCGGTGAACTTCGGACTATTTAAGTATGGTGGCGTGAATAAATTCTCTTATTTATATTTATATTTATATTTATATTTATTTATATTTTTGTAATTCAAATTAATTTATTATTAATGACCTTATTTATACTATTTATACACATTTATAACTATTGATTATATTATAAACTATATTTAGTTTCCAAAAAAAAAATATAAAAAAAAGAAAAAATCTTCTAGGGAGAAAAAACTCAAATTTTGATTGAAATTTTGACAATTTTACAAATTTTTATTATTATTCCAAGAAAAAAACAAACAAATAATAATAACAACATACATATTATTAACATAATATTTTTAATCTTAGTTATTATTATATTAGAATTTAAATTTTTTTATTAAGTTTTATTTATTCAAATGTCGACAGTTATTTCTTCTAGCCCCCTTGCTCTAAGACCTGATTATTCTGCTTTAAAATTACAAAATCAAAATTTTGGAGAAAAGAAGAACAAGCCATCTATCACCACCACTTCCACCACCTCCCTCTCTTCTCCTAGTTCTAGTGTTTCGTTAAATATGTTTCAAGAACATGACGAAGAAATATTAAACAATAGTGATATCGAATTCGAAGAATTCGATTATGATAATTATAATTATAATAATAATAATAATAGTAATAGTAATGAAGTAGCTGAAGGTTTAGGAATAAAATTAAATTACGATATTAATATTGAAGTAAATGGAAAAGAGGGAAAAGATAGCATCGAGAATATAAATGACAATGACGATATTGATAATGATCAAAATATTAACAAACTCAACAATGAAAAAACAAAAAAAAACCAAGCTCCTCATTTTGAATACGTCTCCTATGACAAAGTTCAAGATCTATATGAACAAAGAAAAGGTCATTTCTATTTCATCCCTGAAGGTTTCGAGCCTGTCTTGGTACCAAATGATACAGCAGCTCAAACAGTAACAAATCTTTTGGAATCAACAAAACCGGTCTCAGCTACTCCAAATGTATCAAGAATGCTTCCTGACACCGATGTTCGTCTTCCTTCATATGCACTACCATGTGGCGTCAATACAAATTCAAAGAAGGACAATGCTAACGCAAACAAGGCCAACAGCAAACCAAAGAAAACTCCACGACCTCCGAACGCTTTTATTCTTTACAGAAGAGCAAAACAACCAGTTATTGTTGCTCAAAATGCTGGAATCTCTAATAATGATGTTTCCAAAGAAATTGGAAAAATGTGGCATGAAGAATCTTTGGAAGTTAGACTCAAGTATCAGAAGTTGGCAGAAAAGGCCAAAGAAGAGCACACAAAGAGATTTCCTGAGTACAAATATAGACCTCGCCGTCCACAAGACAAGAAACGTCATTTACAACAACCACCACCACCAGCAACTCACGTAGGGAAAGAGACTTACAAAGGACGTGAAGAAGGAAGAGAAGGAAAAATAAACAATCTTAATATTAACAATGTTGATAATAGCAATATTGATGATAGCAATATTGATAATAGCAATATCGATAATGATATTAATGATTTCTTAATACACAACTATAATAATAATGGATCATTCTACAACAACGACAACAATTATCATCATCAAGATCAGCAATATCAATTATTATCAACTCAAGCACAAATATTCTATCAAAATCAAATGAACGAAATTCCACAAATTAATGCATTCTCGGCAATTGATAACAATACTGATATTGATCTTACTAGCAATGATATTGACGGTGATAATAACAATAATCAATTTACCGCATATCTTCAAAACAATAATAACCTGATGGATTTCTCGCTATTTCAAGAACTTCAACAAAACCATAACATTGACTTCAATAATTATAATCTTCCCCTCACTTATAATCTTTTTGGAACAAAACCTGATTATTAATTAGTCTTAAGATTTATTACTATTATTTTCTATTTTATAATAATCACGAATAATATGTATATATAATTTTCATTATTAATAATTTTTCATAATTTTTAACTTACAAATTAATTTATTAGTCATATCTGTTAAAAAAAAAAAAAAAGCAAAAAAAAATTTTATATGCAATTTTTTTTTTTTTTAAGATTTGTTTTATGAAGATTCTATTTACATTTACATTTCATTTAATTAATTAACAATAATATAATAATAATATGCAAAAAAAAAAACGATAAGATTTTTTTCCATATTTTCATTTAATCATCATTACTTCTTTAGCATCAATTTCACACATTATAAATATATTTACACACACATGTATATTTGATACACTCTCACTTTCACACTCACACATATGCATATACTTTCATTCATTATAATACATGATTTATAATTTGTTTTTTAAAATGATAAATAAAAAGGCGCCAACTTTTAAAATAAAGTATCGGTGAATCCCGAATTTTTATCTGTTTTAATTAATATAAATGGCTATATTTTTATATGACTCGTATGACTCATTTGTATTCATCATTTCATTACATGACCCGATATTATTCATTATACTTATTTATTTATCTGACGAAAAATTTTTTTTAAAGTCGTTTCAATATTATTATCATCAACGTTTATTATTTATATATAGTGACATCATTAACGTAATTAATGATTATAATTATTATTTATTAAAAAAAGTACTATGTTTCTTTCATATACAAAAAAAATATCCCATATATAATATGGTATTACTTCTTTCTCCTCTCAACCTCTCTTCTTACTTATCCCTGAATTATAATTTTAATATCTCCTTGATGATGATGATGGACTGGATGATCTTTCACGTCTTCTACTACTCCCAATCCTACTTCTAGTTGATGTACGATCTCTTGTTTCTCTATCTGGCAAACTAACAGTTGTATTGACAGGTGGTCTTATAAATGCAAAATCACAGAATAACGTTTTACCAAGAAATTTTGTTCCATTAATTCCATCAATTGCTTTCTTTGCTTCTTTATAAGTTTCATATTCAACTAATGCATACCCCTATATGCGTATATCAAAATTTTTTTTTGAGGAAAAATAAATGTCAAATTCTTAAAAAATTACACGTGCGTGAATAAATACCTTTGCATAACCAGTTCTACGATCTAAATTGAGATGTAAATTTTGTATTTCTCCATAATCTGCAAATTTATCTGTGACATCATCTTCTGTAGCTTCTTCATGAAGTCCCACAACAAGAACTATCCATCCTTCAACAGCTATATATATTATATTAATTTTTATTTTTTTTTTAAAAAAATTAAAAGTTATCGTGAAATTTTGAAAAAATCAAACATTAACATCTTTGTGCTCGTCCTGTTACAGCATCTTCTTCCGTGGTCGATTCAAATTGATCATATTTAGCGCTAGACCTCACACCATCTCTAGATTCTTATTCAAGAAAGAAAAAAAAAGTATAAACTTCGAATCTTTTTTTAAACATTATTAATGAAAATTTAAAAAGTAAGATTTATTTAATAAAATACCTTTTGAATCACTTCTAAAACCACGTCCTTTACGTTTAACTGTAGACGATCTAGAGTCTTTAACGCATAAAAAGATTAAATTAAAAAGCAATCAATATCAAAATTTTCAATAAAGTGAATAAACGTCATTCTTTCAAGATCTAAAAGATCTATGACGCAATTTAACATTAACCTTCATCAACCATCATAGCATCATCATCATCGCCAGTATTTATGTCTATATCATAGTCTGTCATTGTTTTTTTTAATTATTAATGTTTGATAAAAATAGTTTAATCTATTAAATGTAACACAACAAATCGATATGGTACAGCGGCTATAGATATAATAACATCTTTCAAATAGTATTAGTTTGATCTGTAAGATCAAAGTATCACGTAATTAAAAAAAAAAAAATATAAAAAAAAATATATAAAATAAAAAATGAAACTTGAATTCAAATCAAAATCAATAATAACAAATAATGGTGGATGGTGTGTATGTTGATTTATCTCCCGATGCAAAAGAACTTGATCAACTTGTTTCCCAAATGAAAGAATTGATGGTAAAATGCATGTATATATATTTTTATATAAAATATAAAATATATTTTTTTTGCGAGAGAAAATTTAATATCTAATCCTTCTCACGTAACTCTTAATACATGTTTCCGTCTTAATTAATTTAGATGTAGATGAATGTAAAAAACCAGATTCATTGGTTGTAAACTATAAACCACCTGAAGAATTAAAACAATTAATAGATATGGATTTACCATATAATGGTATTGGTATCAATGGTAAACCAGAATTAATTATTTGATAGTATTTTCTAAATTTTCTTTTTAATTTTCTATGTTTTTTCATTTTTTCATTTTTTCATTTTTAAAAAAGGATTATTTCCAATAATACAAGATATATTAAAGTATAGTGTTAATACATGGCATTCTGGTTTTTTGGATAAATTATATGCTGGAACTAATCCGGTTGGAATCATATCAGAAATGTTAATGGCTTTCCTGAATGGAAATTCTCATGTTTATCATGATTCACCTGTGTTCACATTGATTGAATATTCTGTTTCTGAACATCTTGCTAAATTGTTAGATATGGGCGAGGTAATTATTACTATTACTATTATTATTTTATCACTGCCGTTACTATTATTTAAATTTTTTTTTTCAAAGAAAATACATTTATAAAATTTTTGTTCTATATTAAAAATAAATAATCATAGAATTCTGGTGGTATAACATGTGCAGGGGGGGCATTTTCTAATCAATTGGCAATGATAACAGCAAGAAATAGTTTATATCCCGAGTTTAAAACAAAAGGATACTTTGGATTTAATAAGAAGTTAATGATTTTCACGTCTAATCAAGGTCACTATTCAATTGAGAAGACAGCAATGACATTGGGGTTGGGTACTGAAAGTGTGATTAAAGTACCATGTGATGATCAAGGAAGAATGAAAGTTTATGAATTAGGTATATGTTGTGTCATATATTTCATATAATCACGTAATTGAATATTCACTTAAAAAAATAATCGTTTTTAGAGCTTTTAATCCAACAATCCTTTGCACGTGACGAAACTCCATTCTTCGTAAATGCAACAACCGGTACCACAGTACTTGTATGTATTATTTGCTAATATACTTTAGTAAATTATAATGAATATTTATTATTATCATTCAACTAAATTATATTTAATAATGACATTAGGGATCATTTGATCCATTAAGAGAGATAGGGAAAATTGCTAAAAGGTATAATTTATGGTTTCATGTTGATGGATCATGGGGAGCAAGCCTAATATTTTCAGAAAAATATAAAAAATTGATAGATGGAACTAGTTTGGTTTGTTTATATATATATATATATATATATATATCCATTCAGTTTTTATTAAAAAACACATGATTAACTAACTAATTATTTATTTTAATTCAAACCATTTTTTTAAAAGGCTGATACATTAGTAATCAATCCTCATAAAATGCTTGGAATACCATTACAGTGTTCGTTTTTACTCGCAAAAGATAAATCAATATTTTCAAAGAACAATTCACTGGAAGCAAAATATTTATTTCATGGCAATAAATATGATTTAAGTGATGGTACAGTTGGTTGTGGTAGAAGACCTGATGCTGTCAAGTTGTTTATTGGATGGAAAATATTTGGTATAAAAGGTTATGGTAGTCGTATCGACCATGCTTTTCAGATGACAAATTACTTTGTCGCATTGATAAAAAAAAACAATTCAAAATTTAAATTGGTATTGGACGAACCGCCAAGTTTACAAACTTGTTTTTGGTATATACCTAACAAAGAAATATTGGAATTAGAAAAATTAAATCATCAGTTGTATAAAGATAAATTATCAAAGATCACAAAAGAAATACATAAAAAAATTTATGAAAATGGAAAATACATGATTGATTATGCACCAACCATTCTAAAGGGTGTTGAATTACCTTTTTTTTTTAGAGTTGTAGTGAATTCACCTTCAGTATGTGAGAAAGATTTGGAAAATTTGTTAAAGGAAATTGAAAGTATTGGTAAAGATGTTACTATGAAACTATTTGAAAATATTAACGAGTCAACCGATCGAAAAATTAATGATAGATAAAAATAAATGGTATTAAATAAAAAAGGAAGAAGATTCATAATTTATTTAAATCATGTAAAAAGAGCATCTTCATCTTCATCATTAGATTGTTAAAAAATTTTTTAAAAGATATTTATTTATTTAGCATTATTTATGGAATGTTTATTTTTTAGAAATTATGAAATTTCATTAATTAATGTAGAATTATACTCATACATACATTTGTATAAAGAATAGAATCCAAAGTACTTATATAATTTTAATTATTTTAATTGTGTAAACATGTTATTTTTATTGTTTTTTGAATAATCAAAAAGATCAATGGTGCAATATATTTGTGAAAGAAAATAAAGGTCTGATATTGTGACCTGTTTTTAGATTTCATTGAATGATAATACAATGAGAACAAAACTCATTTTGAGGAATCCATGACACAATGGTATCTTTAATGGTATGACCATCTCGTTTTACTGAATTATTAATGTTAACAAACATCTGTTTGTTAATTATTTTACCAACAATAAATTTATTGTTATAATGATCAACTGAAGCTCATGTTTAAAATGATCATTGACATCACCCAACTATATAATGCTATACCAAAACGGTTAAAATTATCATGCATTAATGATAGTTGCTCATTTAAAGATAGCAGCCTATTTAATAACATAGGTTTACAACTGAGTACACCTGCCCAGAAAAAATGTTCTAATCGCCTAGACTCAAATTTTATCAGATGAGCCTGACTTGCAACTATATTGATACTGCACAAGATTGATTCAACCCAGAACCGTTACCATGCATCAATAACCATTGCTCTTCATTTAAAGCATGGGCCAAGTATGTGTGTACTTGTTATCTTGATAATTCATAATAAAATACCAACGATGCATGGAAACCTTCAAGTTTACATGTAATTGCATATTCATAAAATATCCCAAAAACCTGGGATTTTGCCAAACCAAGCCAGACTTGCAATTACATCAATATATTTGCACGGTAGTTAACTGCTTAGCCAAATATCAGTGCTTCTTCATAATAAAATAAAATTGCTCCAATATCTGTTGTCCCCTGGCCACCACATGGAGGTGCAGCAACATGGCCAGGTTGTCTACCATCATGTATAGTTTTTGTTTGTTAGTTTTTGCCTAGTTCTCTCTGAACCATTCGTTTTGTTCATTTTGTTCAAATAGAATATCAAGTATCACAATATAATATATATTAATATTTTTTCTCACCAAATAAAACTTTAGTAATTTAAGTTTCAACTGACCCTCTTCATTGTATTGCAAGAGGCAGAATAGGTGGATAGATAAAGCTTCCCTTGAATCACAATCTAAATGAATAAGGGGCACACCAGCAAAGCAAACATCTGTACTACCAAGAATTTCAGATCACGTAATAATTATTACTATAATAATAAAATGAAAAATACATATAACTGACTGTACTTTTCCAAATGTCATTAAATAATTATTCCCAATTGCATTCAACAGTATTTGAAAAAGTTGCACTCAAAACCCCTCATTGTTATCAAATGAATCTTAATTGAAGGTCAACTTGAAATAATGCCTCCAAGTCATGAAATGTATAACTTGACTTTCATTTAGTTGTAACATTTGCTTTTCTGTGTGATAAGGCCAAAGATAAAAAAAATTATTTAGATGAAAAGAAGTTGAAATTAGTGTGTAAGTTGGCAATTGGTACCCTACTCACAGAAACTTGGTTGGAAAATATGGTGGTTCCCAAGTATGTTCATGCAAACCATCATATTTTCCTTCTTCTACTCATGGCATTATTGGTCCTGACACTTCTGTTATTCTTAAGACTATAAAGATAATTTACATTTATTGCAATTTTTTTTTAATTTTGATGTGGTCTTCATTTTTTATTTTGGAGATGGGGTACATTATCAGATGAAGATAAATGAAAAGTATTCCATCAGTTGCATCAAATTACGAGTTCACCCCAGGGTATCCATAGGAAAATGCTATGATGGATGGAAGAAGGAGTTGAGGTGGGTGGACTGGTGATGATGTGTATTTGCTTTTCTTTGCTTATTATGCCTATCTAGGAAGGAGTATCAATTGATCCATTTAAAGAATCTATGTATGTGGTACTAATAATGATATCATTCAGCAAGAGCTTGTAACCCCTACAAGATTCTTTCAAAAATTCTTCCTAAATTTAAAATTGATATGTATTTACCAATAAATATGTAGTAACACCTTTCTGCAGAATCATTATCATGGTAAATCATTAGCATTTGATATTTATAAGGCTTCAAACAGATCAGATCAGGTTTGGAAAAAATCTGATCCGATCTGGTTCTTTAAAATATTGGATAGAATCTGGTCTGGAATCTGATCTGATCTGGAATCTGAGATCTGATCTGAGATATTATGTATAAATAATAATAATAATAAAATTCATAAAAAATATTTATGAAAGAAATTATGAATTAAGAATTTCTATCTGATCTGATTCAAGATCTGATCTAAGGTTGTTTGCCAAAACCTCTTAATGACTGTGAAACTCTGC